TATAACTATCTATAACTCTCTATCTATCTGCTGACTGTAACTAACTATACTAGAACCCTCTCTATCTCCTACAGCACATTACATGGGGCCGCGGTGTCAGCAGCCTTATATAGTGTGCTGCAGGGACTTAGCTGTGAGACATGATTGGGCAGAGTCATCGTGACTCTGCCCAATCATGGCTCTACATTTGTACTGAGCCCTGATGGGGTGCAGGACTGTAGCCAATTACCGTTTTCGGACGGCGCAGTGCATTGTGGGATGTGCCGGGGTCGAACAGACCGCGGACATCACGCTAGAACATGCAATGTTCGAGTCGAACCTATGGTCGACTCGAACATGCAGCCCATCCTTACTGGCTATAGCCAGTCAGCTGTTTTATAATAACATAAGGATCAGAAGTACAGTGCACAGCAGGGGACACCAGCATCTGACACTCCCAGAATTCTCTATTGAGTCTGACAGCAGTTGATCAGAGTGAAGATGGGGGACACAGGCCACCAGAGGTATAATACATCTTCTTCTTGCAGGACAATAACACTGCCGCTTTAACACTATTATGGCTTCTACAATGCTTTGTAAGCACACATCCACTTACACAAGTCATGCAGGCAAATCACTTACCTACTCCTTCCTTCCCATAGGCAAGACTGGGTGGAACTTTCACTAGTCGCCTCTCATTTACACACATTCCAATCAGGGCTTTGTCCATTCCTTGAATAATCTGTCCTTTTCCCACAAATACGTTGTAAGTCGTTCCACGGTCATAACTGTAAAATAGTACAGGATAGTTATGAAATGCCATTTCCTCTTTGGCCTAACATACACCATCTGTTGTGATTTTATCAAAGTTTATTCTCTTTAAGCTTTCCTCAATAATGTTCTACGTCAAGTTTTACCCAGTCTTTGAAATGAATGACTGTCATTTGTCTGTCATTCAATAACAGCGCACATCCACGAGGGAAAGGAATCAAATTCTGGATCAATAACAGCAGCTTTCAGTACGTTACGTTGGTCACTTTCTGATAGCTGCAATTAGTGTTTGGCAAGTGTTTTCTTATGGTAATGTTTAAACATCTACAGATGGGACAACATGAACAATTTAAACAATCAAGGAGCCTGAAAAGAAATGTCATATGAAGAAACTAGTACAGAACAGGCAAGCAGACTGGCTGGATGTAAAACCAGATGACCAGAAGGCCGAACCTGTGACCTGCAAGCAGAGAACTACCATTACCATATATCAAACAATCTTAACTTATCTTTCCAGCTACCTTTTGTGAACTAAAAAAGAATGCACAAAAGAATAGATGAGGAAAGGAAGAGGAGGGGTTAGTAGTCCAAATCAGGACAGCAGTTCAGAATGACTACCATGGCTCCCTCCATAGATACGGTGCATTGAGTTATGATACTCTACAACAGGAAGTAAGTTATTAGTAGGATCACCGGGCGAAATGTAACCGCTTGAAGACCAGATGTTTAGACCCCCTTCCTGGCCAGGCCATTTTTCAGTATTCAGCGCTGCGGTACTTTGACTGACATTTATTCTGTCATGCAACGCTGTACTGAAATTAATTTTATACCATTTTTTGGGGACAGATAGAGCTTTCTTTTGGTAGTATTTAATCACCACTGGGATTTTTATTTTTTACTATAATAAGGAGAAATTACTGAAAATTTTGGAAAAAAATAGTTTTTTTTAACATTATGTTATAAAACAACTAATATTACCCACTTTTTTGGTAAAATTTTAAAGTCTGGGTCACGTCGGGTAAATAGACACCAAACATGTCAAGCTTAAAAATTGCGCGCACCCACGAAATCGCAAAAAAATAGCATACCCAAAATTGTCCATAGGAGACGCTTTAAACGCTTTTAGTGCTCATCAGTTTAGTGTTATCAGTGATTGATGACCCTAAAATTATTGCTCTCATTCCGACGTTCACGGCGATATGTAACATGTGCGGCGCAATGGGTGCAATCGTCGTTTTCGCAGGTATGCGCACCTGACGCATGTTTACATGCGGGTATGTAGGGGTGGGGAATTTAAAAAAAAAAAAATGTATTCTTTTTTATGTGTAACTTTTAAAAAATTGGGGGGAGGGGGAAATTTAAAAAAATTTTCTATTTTTTTTTTCACTTAACTTTATTGCTATCACAGAGGGGGCTGAGAAACCCCTCTATGTGATAGCAAAAGAGGTGACAGGTCCTCTTTATGGAGACATCAGGGGTCTCCAAGACCCCTAATGTCACCTAGGACCCCCATGAAGAAGCTGATGAAGCAGAGATCAGCTTCATCAGCTTCTCTACAGCATCTGAAGCTGGAGAGTGACACAAGAATGCGGAAGTGATGTAATGTACTCCACTTCTGCATTCTGACAGCGGAGAGGGGACCAGAGGGAGATCGTGAACCGACCTCCCTCTGATCCCCTGTGACGGAGGCAGTATGCTGGTCCCGGGCTCACACCGGAGCCCGGAACTAGCTTGACAGCGGGAGGCGCGTCACAGGACCTCATACAAGCGATCCGCCGGCTCTATAGCAGGCGGATCGCTTGTATAGTAACGGGCATCGCTGCCTGTTTTAAAATAACCAGCATTTCCCGCTCGCGGGCGCCGCGCCCGAGCGGGTGTGTATGCAGCCATCACACCTAAAGACTGATAAGCTATTGTATATTAGATTTCTCTTTTGGGGTATACATAGACTTTATGACACACATAAATAATGAAAACAGTTCTTCCTTTCCTCTTCATGGTAAGAAGAGGGAAAGATCAGCCAAGTTTCACAAAGATTACATGGAAAACATCTGGGAGTGGTAACAAGTACTTCGATATCTTATCTCATCCTAGAATAACCGGGCAAGGTTGGACCATTTATGGCCACCCTAAGGTTGTACATAGACCTCTCACAAAGAAAAATAGCTGGTCAGAGATCTGCACTTTCCTGTCCCAGTCCAAGATCTTTTGGGATCTGCTGCTGAAGTTTTCAGCTACAGAGCACACCCAACTAAAGCTTGTTTTCTTTTCTAGAAAGAACATGGACTCACTGTTCATGGGTCATGGTGCTTCTCAATTATTGCTTTTCTTTTTTTATCAATTCTTTTTTCAATTATTTCTATTGCGTTGTCTCATGATTTCTTAGTCATTAAGGGCATTTCAATTACTGTCCAGGAATGCAGCAGTTCATACTTCAGAATTGGTGCTGACGTGTATTCTGTAATGTGATGCCAAGCCTTGCGTGCAGCTATTAGTGTGTAGTTTACACAGAGTGCAGTGATAAGTATGCTAGGACATCACTATAAACCAGTCCTCTGTACATTCTGGTTATTAAAAGTGATGCTTAGAATGACTGCATGGCTTGACAATATTGTACCATGCATGAATATTCCAAGACTGAAAGATGGCCCTATACAAGCCTGTGAGGGCTCACTGTACAGGTGCCGCCAATGCTAAAGATGTTCTCTACTAGAGTGCCAACATCCAAACAGACCGTGGCTATCCAACTGAGAGAAAGCAGCTGCTGGCAAGGTACCCGGAGGGCTAGGATAGGATGGGGGTTAGCATTGGTGTTATTAGAGCTACAGCTATCTTTTAAGTCTATTTCAGCTAAGTCCTATATGCATTTTAAAGAGAAATAAATGAGAAATAGGCATTAAATATAGGTTGCATCTGTAAATACAGACCGTTGAGAGCAGGGGTAGAGAAACGCCAGCCCTCCAGCTGTGGTGGAACTACAAATCCCATGAGGCATTGCAGGATTCTCACAGCCACAGACATGACTCCCGCAGAGAGATGCTTCATGGGATTTGTAGTTTTACCACAGCTGGAGGCCCGGAGTTTGGCTACCCCTGGTTTAGAGTGTACTGAGCAACATGAATCCATCTTTTAAATGTTGAGCAGTAATACAAAGTGCTTAGAGACAGAACTGTACCTGCATGATGGATGGTTAAGTTCTCCAACGCTCATCATTCATTTTACATGATCATAAACAGAGCCAGATTTATACCCCCTGCTCCCTTTGTTGTCTAGCTAAAGCTGGCCATACACATATCAGATTTTGTATGTTTCCTGGTGAAGCGGACAAAATTCGATCTGTGGGTGGCCAGATTTTTCAATTAGCTTTTATGGAAGGAACCAGGTGGAAAATGGCCAGCCGCAGGACTTCAGCCAATCAGCTGCAGTTACTGTTCAGGTATTCTGACAGCCGTGGGTGCTGGCAGGGGCGACTCCTCCATCTGCTCCTTAGCTCTATTTTCTCATTCTGCTTGTGGGGCTGATTGAGAAAATTCTTCCGATGTATGGTCAGCTTTAGTATTACACTACTAACATCAGCCTCATAGCCACACATTTCAAACCAACGCCAAAGGCAGAAAATCTGATTGGTACAATTTGCCTACACTGCATCAGTACATCTAAAACTGATGAACGCTAGCAGCCCCTACTACATGTAGAGAATGGGTAACCTGTACATACACAGTACACAATTCCACCCGTGAAAACGCACAAACTGTGGTGCAGGGACAGAAACACTCAGGATACAGGTAGTTTGCAATGGGAAGTAGAGCTGCAGTCTGGAATTTCAATTATACAAGGGAAAGTGTCACTTGGAGTCAGGAGGAGGTTGTGTGGCCACTGCCAATGTTGGCTCTTCACAAAGCGGGTCTTGGTCGTAAACAGTACTTCAGCATTACATTCCTAACACAGGGTTTATGAGAAAGACTTAGCGCTTTATCGAATTGGCCCTCGTGTGTGTGTGTGCATGTGCTTGCAGATAGAAAAATGGAAGTTTCACTAGGAAATGTGGCACCATATAAATATTTGAAATAAATAAACTCTCCTTCATTTGTTAGCTCACAAAAGACTTGTACTTCATAAGTCAGTGGCCAGGCAACTTCGGCAATCCAGCTGTGCCGGAAATACAAATTCCATCATGCCTCTGGGAGTCATGGCTATGGCTGTCAGAGTCTTGCAATGTGTCATGGGACTTGTAGTTTCACCACAGCAGGAGTGTCGAGGTTGTCCTCCTCTGTCATATATAGTGTGTGTGAACAATAGAAAATAAGGTTGTTATCCGTAGCAACCAATCACGTACTAGCCTTCATACTGTAATCTATCCTGGATACATTAAAACTGGAATATGATTGGTTACTAAAGTCAACAGCCTCACTTTTGTTTGATCCTGCTACTACAATATAAATCAGCCCATGTGTGTCTTTTGTATGAAAACTGAGAGTTGAGGTGCTATGCAGTTAGATTGAGTATATTTCTAGTACAGGTTAAAGCGGTAGTAAACAAAAGTCAAATCTTGGCATCCCAGGAGGAGTTTGCCATAGGGCTCATTCAGATGGGATCGCACGTTCGTGTAGCGTGCACGCCTGTAAAGAGACCCGACCCCGGAAAGGGACACGTGCTACGTGTTACTGCACGCAGACTGTTCTTCCCTATGGGGGGGACGCAGTTGCACGCAATTTTATGCTACCATGCGCACACCCAAACCTGCACATCCATGTGGGTCCGGGTGCCTGCACTTGAATGCACACTGTCTGTATCTAAGTGAAGGCACTGGGACCCACACAGATGTGCAAGTTTGGGTGTGCGTGTGACCATGTGTAACTGCATGCAGCTGCATCCTCCCATGGGGAGGAAAAGGCTTCTGTGTGTAATGCAACACCTGTCCCTTCCAGGATTGGGTCATTTGACGGGCGTGCACCCCGTACAGACCTGCACGCTCATCTGAATGAACCCAAAATGTGCTTGTATGCGCAGCTCTGCC